TTCTTCTGATACAGGGGGAAAGCCAGGAAATGAGCTGAAAATTTGGGTGGCCTTCCAGGAGCAGTGCAGTCCCAAGGCACTTTTGGGCTGTACCACTGGGGACACATCAGATGCCTTCACAATGTTTCAGTGATTCTCTGAGCTGGAGGTTTGCTTCTGCTGTGTCAAAGTTTGGGGTGCGATTGCTCACTCACCTCTTTGCTTTTCCTTTGTGGATGGATTTGGAGGTTGGGGTGTTTGTTTTTGCCCAGCTGTCAATGACAATAGCACCCCAGGAACAGCATGGGCTGAAAAAGCAGTGAGATAAAGCTGTTCCCCATCCCAGGACAGAGGGGAGGATTTATTTTGGTGTAACTATACAGAAACTTGTGTTGCAGCTGTTACCAGTATCTCTGCCATATATACATACAAGATTTAGGAACTAACAGACACATATAATCAATTTTGCCTTCTTGTTCTTTGGTTCTCACTGGTCTCTAAGTCAGAAATGAAGGATTTCCTCAGAAAGCCCAAGAATTTGGTGGCTTCAAAGTGTTAAGTGCAATATTGGTTGTTCTGAAAAACAGACCTGGGAGTATTTGAATATCCTACATCTTCCAGCTTGATTTTAGTGACATGCTGGCACAGAAAGAAATAGAAAATCCTTTTCTAGGTATTCTGCATATCAATTATTTAGCTGAGGAGAGTCAGCTAGGATTCACAAAAGAGAGATTATGCCTGAAAATATCTGTCTCACATGTTTAAAACAAATAAGCTGAAGTAGGAGAAAGAGAGGCCTGGGATTTGAAAATTCTTTATAGAATCATGCTGCACAGAACCCCATGTTTTATCAGCTGGTGTGTCAGTGGGTGCAAGAGAGCTGGTCACAATAGGGGGTGATTTTGGATGAATGCTGGGGAAGGGTAGTGTCACCAGGACAGGCCTGCTTTATTGGTGGTTTGGGAGGAAGGAGAGATGTGTCCTGTAAAGATGTTGGGATCTGCTGTGGATGGAAAGCTCGTGGCACCACTGGTGTAAAGGTGCATGCTTGTACCTGGAGGAGAAGACCAAAACCAAAGCCAGGGTCCCTCTGCATCCTGAAACTTTCTAACCTGCCCTGAAATCCACGTTACCCACAGAAGCTGCTAACTCAGCCTGTGGCTTTTCATCACTGCTCCACATCCATCCTCTGTTGTGTCAGTAACCACAGGGAGGAAGACAGTGACTCCAGCCTTCCTCACTCCATAGCCCTGGTGAAAGAACTGGCATGCTAAACTGCATCTGCTTTTCTTGAATTAATTAATGCTCTTCTATTTTGTTTTTCCCCTGATTTGAGAAGGGGAAAAACCCCAAGTTTTCCCCTCAAATGGATGGTAAAATAGATAGTCAGATCTTTATTACTACTGCAGAAGATGAGAAAATATTTAGAGAGTCTGGTGAAGCATTTGTCTCCTCTCAAGCTCTCCAGAAGGCAGTCATCCCTGTTTCAAGTGCTAAGACAATAGTGAATAAAAAGAAAATTCCCTGTTCCAGGACTATTTTTACCAGAGTGGTGCAGTTTCTGTTCAGTAGACCTATGCCTCTTAATCTACATCACTGATGATATTGGAAGCTATTTTAGGCATTGCATAAAATGTTCATCCAGTCTTTGCTAAAAAAGAAGCAACCAACCCACGAGTCCTTTGTTAAACACTGGTTGCAAGGCTTCAGCAGTGATTTGGGTAGAAAGATCTCAGGCTGAGGTTGAGGAAGCATCTTGCTTTGTTTGGGAGCAGAGGCTGCGTGTGACCTTGGGAAAGCCCAAACTGATGATTGCTCTTTCCTCCCCCCACCCCCTCATTATCCTGAAAATGTGGAGAACACTACCAATATCTATTTAGGGGGTTGGTTCTTCTAATTTGTAATGGCAGCTGTCTGCTGTTTTGCCCAGCATCTTGCACAGAGGGACCCAGTTTGCAGCTGGCCAGCAATGAAATTGAGTTCATTATCTTGTGTGAATGTGATAATGAAATGAAATAAAACACACCTGAACCAGCAAAATCTTGTAGAGTTTACATCAGACCTCAGTCACAGTGGTGAGATTTACTGAGGTGGTAAATGTCTTTTCTCCTCTTTGAGAAGTAAAATGCTGAAAATGTAATTTAATAATTTCCAGGATTTTGACTTGTCAACTTCCTTACATTTGTGTTTTCACTGTGTTGGGATGCATTCATTTTATGAGATGAGTTTCCTACTTCTGTGAGTAAGCCAGGTAAACATGAGGTTAAATCTCAGACAGGGCTGAGTGTTCTCTGTGTTCCAGCATCTATCTGGATTAGGCTCTTCATCCTTGTCTCCTCCTCTGCCTTTTGTCCTGTCAGAAGTATTTTTATAGGTGTGAAAACATATCTCAGGGCAGCCAGAACAAACTTGATGATTAAGCTGGTTTTTATTTGCACTATCTTAAGATGAAGCCATTTGCTGTGGGCTGTTTCAGCAGTCGCTGTGTCTCTGGAAATGCTGGCATGGGCAGCCTGAAGGTGGTTTGGGTACCCGGTGAAGATCCATCCCCAGGCTCCAGGGTATAGGACACAGGCTGGCAAAGTGTATCCATCCCTTGTGAGCCACAGGAGTTCTGTTAGGAACATCTGAGAGAAATTACAGGACAGTTTTCAGGACTTCTTATTCCTCCACCATCCCAGCTCCACAATGTTTTGGCTCCCAGAGCTCCTAGTTGCTTTGGGCAGTAAAGTGAGCTGGAGAAGTGAGGGAGAGATGGTAGCAAGGCTGTGAACAAGCACCAGCTGGTAAATGGTGGAGCTGAGGAGGATGAGGCAGGATGAGGGTTTCCTTGGTTTCTGCAGAGGATGATCTTTGCAGTGGCAGCAGCAGGCACCCCTTGCCATGAGTCACAGGAAGCTTTTTCAGAGGAAAGGTCAAAGAATTGCGTTAGTGCCACTCCGGCTTGTTTCTTCCTGCTCCTTCCAAAAGGCCTTTTTGCTGCCGTGTCCACTGTCATCCTTGTCCCATGCAGCCTGCCTTCCTCCATTTCCTCATCCTCCTCACTGCTGTGGTGGTTGAGAGAGTGGGGAAAAACTGTCAGCTCAGGAAAGATGCTCTGAAGTTACTAAGATCTGTTTATAGCAGTGAGGGTGGAATTTCTGTTTGATGCAAGGGTTGATGGATGTCTGAAGTCATCCTGTGGTTGCGGGGGAAGGCAGAAGGGAATTGATTCCCTTTGTAGCCCTCTACCCCCAGAATTTTGGGAGACAGCCCCTGGTAATCATTGGGGAATTTGTTACTCCTTCCTGTAAGCCCCTTGGTGCACTCAGGGGTAAATGGGGTTTGTTGGACCTCCCCCAAATTTTGTGGTGCAGAGATGTTTCATTTTCCTGTTGACAGCCTTCCCTGTCATGTGCTCTGCTGTCACAGGGACTGAGAAACACCAGGTTACTGCTGGGGAGTGAACCTAGCTGACTTGTGTGTCCTGAGTGCAGGGAAATTTAATCTTGTCTTCAGTCCTTAAGCGTGTCCTGGGCTCATTGGTTACTCCTCACTGACTGCTTCTTTGCTGTATATGCTGTTTTATTACAGACTAAAAATGCTTGAAAACAGACCAGTTCATCTTTTAGTTTTTCTCATATTTTTTTAAAAAATTCATTTATCTATCCCTCCCCAGCTGAGGTGTTCAGCACCCCAGCTCCTCACAGAACACAGGGTGATTTCCAAATTCACAGGTTCCTTTTCCTACTGAGATTAACGTTGTCCTAAAGAAAGCCTTGGAATAAGGAGATGAGATCAAAGCAGACACAGCAACTGAATAGTGGCAGTAAAACTGAAGTCCTCACTTCACAAAGAACTTGTTTCTGAGCTGAACTGTACAGTGAATCCTGTTATACTTGTATTAGTCCTGAAGGGTTCTTGCTTGCCCCTGCAGTCCTGCAGCACTTCTGCATTTTCCCTGGTTTTATTTTCCCCCACTGTGAGTAAGCAAATGCAAGGCTCAAATAGCAGCATAGTCAAGCTGGTTCCAACACGTGAACAGCACTAGATAGAAAAATAAAAGAGGGAGAGCCAATTGCCTTCTTGATCTGTAAAGCAGAAAATACTAAATCCTTCAAGACCTCCTTTTTGTCGTGTAGCATCCATAAACTCGTTTGGGGTTTGGATCGGCATCACGGCAGAACCCGGCTGCGCTGCTGCCTGTGTGCAGTGCAGCCTTGTGTGTGCCTGGCAGCAGCACAAAAGGAACCAGCTGATGATATTCACAGCATTAAAGGCCTGATTCCTGGGGACACACTTGGTTGGATGCAATTAAAATGCCTGTCAGGCATTTGATACCAGCAGCCCCTTGACAAACCGCCTGAGCCGCCGCGAGGTGCAGCATCCTATTGTAAGTGGATGATGGCGGAGCTGGCTGCCTTGGCGTCGTTCTCGAAATTTCTGTGGCCAGTGAACTCCCTCTTCCTCTCCCACTCACCCTCTTTTCCTTTTCACCGCTGCGGGGACTTGTGCTAATTTGCAGTTTTCCTTTTCCTGGCGTGCACATGGTAGAGACAAGCTGGTGGCTTGCAGACTGCGTCTGGCTGGAGACAGGCAGCGAGCCGATGGATAACAACACTCCGGGAGAATGATTATGCAGCAGTTATTTAAGGATAGGCTTTTGGGGTATGGCAGCATATGAGCTGGTAATCATTTCATTTCAAAAATGTCAGCTTTGTTTGTTTGCTTGTTGAGGATTTGAGAGAGTTGTACCTTTATGCTGGAGCTTTTTGGGTTTTGTCTGCTGTAGATTAAAATCTGTAGCAGTGCACGCTGGATGAATTCAAATGAATAGGTAATAAACTTCTGTGGATTTGTTTATACATTGATGCATGCATAGTGTGTGTTATATGCAGACACACCTTCATATGGATATGTTTATGCATATTTTGTCTTTGTATGATAGAAGAAAAACTTTTCTCATAGCTAAAAAGTGTTTTTCAGCAAAAATTCAGTGTTTTCAGGGTTTTTTTGCCCCTCCCTTTGTTTTGTATTAGCAGATTCTTCAGTGTGTAGCCTTGGACGCAGCGTGCTGATTGGAATCTTCTTGTTCAAAGATCGGAAAGGTAGGATGCCTCTCTTTGAATGTGGGGATGAATGTGGCACAGGGTGTGGGCTGCTCTTTGTTATTTTGTTTTTCCTTTTTGATTTAAACAATAGTTGGTGGTTTGGGTTTTTTTTTTTTTTGTTTGTGTTTGTCAGCTTTGCAGAGATTTTCAAATTGTCGTGCCAGGCACTGTGAAGTTATTTTTGATGTGTAAATATGTGCTCGAGGTAACTAATTAGCCCTTTTGGCTGCAGCTACCAAAATGTGAGATACAAACCCGAATGCTTGCCTATTGTCTTGTATTAGTGCAGGTGCAAGCTGCCCCCTGTCATTTGGGCTTGTCATAATACTGATTTTAGCACCAGCAAGGACAGGGTTAAACTGGCAGGCTTGTTCCAAGCAGGTACAACCTCTCCCAGGAAAGCAGCTCCTGGTCCCAGCAGCCTGTCAGTGCTGGTGAGCATCTGTCTGATGGCTTTTTCACATACCACTGGCACTTCAGAAATGATGCCTGCTATCAGAAGGAGGAAAGCAAGCTGGGTCTTTCTGGCAATGTCGTTGCTAACTCCCAGGAGTAGCAGTTTATTGTCGTCTTCCCCTAGTTCCTTTTGGCTGGCGTTGCTTTAAGCCTTTGCCTCTGTAAAGGAAAGAGGGAGGTAAAATGTTGCAGAATAAAATCTCTAAGTTACTTTGTGTTGGACTTCCAGGTGTGTCAGGTAGTTAAGGAATACAGATTTCATTGATTTGTAGTCAGGACTGTGCTAAAAAAAATAAAAAAATCCAGGCAGGATTGAAAATCTGCTCCCTTCACCTTGATGGAGAGAGGAAAAGGTATATCCATCTTGAATTAACTTCTCAGGTGCCAGTTCTCACCCAGCACCTACCAAAGCAGACTTTATGATGATGTTCTCTGCTATGGTGCCCTACAGGTTTCCTGTTTCTTGGGTCTGCATTTGGACCTGGAGGGAATGTGTGCAATCACAATATGCATGTGGCTTTAGTCTAAAGTTTTAGGGGCCTTTTAAAAACCTGAAAAAAAACCCACAGCATTTTTTCTGGGAAGGTGGTTATGTTTCCCTCTTTGAGAAAGCCTGGGCTCCTGAAATGGCCATTGTGGCTCCCCAGACAGGGAGGGATCTCAGGCCAGAACCTGGGCACTGGCAAAGGTGTGGGCCACTGCTAACAGCAAAGCATGCCTCAGAAAGGTGGTGAATAATCAATATCATTGAACCATAGGGCTGCTTGATAGATGCTGTTTCCTGAGGGAAAGCACTGTGAATTTTTCCAGATATTCGCTCTCCTGTTTTCTTACATACAATTCTATTATTTGTTTCCCCTTTCTACACATCTTTCCATTCTCTTGGCCCCTGTAGTTTTTCTATCTTTGGCAGAAGGCTTTTACCTAATAGATTTTCCTGGCTGAATAAATTATTTTGAAAGGAATTCTTTACTTGCTAGTTTATCTTAGCTGCTTTTAATACTGTTTCCTCCTGGTTTCAGTTATCACTAGACTAATTGAAATAAGAAAGCCTGGAGTAAATAGTGTTTAAAATGCTTTAATTTGTGAAAAATGCATTTAATGATTTGATTTTAGCTGAGAGCAAGTCCCTTCTCTTCTCTCTACTTTTAATTTCACTTTCACTGTCCAAGGCAAGAAGCCAAACTGCAGTCTCATTCTGATTTCATTAATGTTTTGCGAACTCTGTCTCAAGGACTAATATTGCTTGCTGGGCTTGATGTCAGAATCCAAGGTTTTGCTGCAGCATTGGAGAAGGGGAAAGGAAGGCTCTCTCACAAATAGGAATGATGGCATTGTTAGCAGGCAAGTAGAACTGCCTAGTTTTTATAGTATTGGTGGATAAAGAGCCCAAAATTTTGGCGATGTGATCCCTTAGATCCCAGCAGGTTTTCATCTGGTGTGGAAATGTCTCTTATCTCCTGTGCACAGCATCTTATCAGTCCTCTATGGCATCCTAAAAACAAAGAAAGGGCATCAGCTGTTTGTTTTTAAATCAGAGTTGGTGGAGACTGAATTTTTTTACTACATATACAAATGCTTATACATTTCTTGTACTTCTGATTAGCAGTCATTTTGGCCTCCTCCTTTTATCTGGGTTTTTAAGATTCACGTTACAAATCATTCCTTTGGGCTACAAAGAAGAAAATGAGATGTTATCATGACAAAAATGGAAATTATTTCAAACAATATAATTTTTGTGACGAAGAGGTAAGGAGCACTTAGGCTGTAAGAGGAGATTTAATTCGAGATTCACAGGACTTAAAAAACCTGTGGCCACAGGGTTGGCTTGCAATATCAAAAAGAGATCAAAAGGAAAAGAATATCAAAGGAAAAGCATTTTGTTAGCTGATACAGAAGGCAAGAGAAGGCAGAGTGTGCAGCAGCAATGAGGTGTGCTGGATCAGAGTGTGTGGGCTCCGAGGCATTCACCCAGGGTGACGTGATGGCTGGCACCCACCTTCCATTGGACATATGACATGGTGACCAGATGAGCCAAAACACATGGTGCCAGTTCACCCCCAGGGCTCTCCTGCAGGGAGCAGCTTCAGGGGTGAATTTGGGTCTCTGTGGCTGCTCCTGCCCTCAGATGGTCATCTGGCTTTTAACCCTGCTCCTAGTGACCCTCACAGAGGAGGTGAAGAGGCTTTATGGCTGTTCTAGGCTGGGTCTAAACAGCCTTGGTTTGTTTGCCAGGGTTAGACCACCAAGATTGGTGTTGTCTTGTCCTGTGGTTACATGGAACAAGTATTGGTTTGAGCATTGGAGTGAATGGTGCTGACTTTGATTTGTGTCTTGTGCTTGATGGTGAGCAACTGTCAGTGATGATTTTCCTGCTGTTTTACTGATTACAAAGGCTGTCTCCTAGGCAAATAGTTTGGTGGCAAATAGGGGTCCTGTATTATGGCTTTTCTTTCAGCTGCAATGTGAGTGGGGTCATTTGCAGGATCTGCTTTTTTTTACTTGAATGTCAGCTTTCATGGGACTTGTAGGAAGGCAGCTACCTGTAACAAAACAGGTTGAAATTGGTCAAGGGACTCAAAAGTTACTATCTGCAGAGAATATAATCTACATCAAACTTTCAGTGACTAAGACTGGAGCTGGTGCATCCTGATGAAAGTTCTTCCATATGCCTTTGCATCTTGTGTCCTCTCCTTCCATGCCAGAGCTTCCACTATTTCAGTTTCTGTGTGCTGCCAGCTGGGCAGGGCATGGCATGCTCTAGAGCTGCTCTGGCCATTGTGTGTGTGTGCTGCCTGTCTGGAAGGTCAGAGGCACTGAGTGGTGAGGTTATGGCAGTGCTTTCTTCATGTAAAGGAAGAATTCAGTTCAATTTTTTCTAGGAAGAAAAGCTTCCTTAATTCTTTGTCAAGCTACATTTAATTTTTAAAAGCTAAGGATAGTTAGACAGCAGGGTTTTGGTTTAGTAATGTTAGAAAGGACCTTGTGTAACCTGTCAAGAAAATAATCATGAAACCCCAAGAATCCAATGGAGGATGAACTGGACCAGGAGCTGGGCTGACATGGCCTCAACTGGAGGAAGAAGGTGCACCTGCTTAGGTGCAGGCCTGTGATTCTTGTGAATGGCTGTAAAACTGCCAGGTTAATTCCTGAAAGTTTGTCTCCTCTTTCTCTTCCTTATTTTCTTTGTCTCTAAAACAGACAAAGAAATGCCAGTGTATTTCTGAGGAAAAGTATTCAGCTTTACAAAATGATTGAGATCCTTGGTTACAGGAAGCTGTGAAATTTGGTCACTAGACTTAGGATGGTGGGCTTTGTTTTGGCTGCAGTACCAAAAGAGTTTGTGGCATTACTGCATTAGCAGTAACAATAAAAAGGTTAAAATACATTTACTAAGATTTGATTTCTCCCAGCTTCACTCATCAACTTAACTTTTCCTCCTTCTTTGCTGTATTGAATTACATGATGATCATAGAGGTCAGTGATGACATTTAAGATGTTAATGAATAAACAGTGATCAATTAATCAGTCCCATTTCATGCAAAGGAATGGCTGTTTCCTGATGGACGCTCAGCTGGCATACGAAAGCTGGGAAGGGCAGAGTCTGTGTTGCCAGTAGCATGCTAGGAGAATCCTCTGTAGCAGCAATGCTGCTGACTCATGCTTTACAACATTCCCTGGAACATTCCCTGGCAGGCTGGAGGTGCAGATTAACTTCCTTTCCCCATCCTGCTCAGGGGACAATGCATTCCATTATTTGCCACCAGGTGAAGCCTCTAGATAGTTATGCACTGCTGCAGTTATCACTGACCTTTTATGGGGTGCATTAGCACGGAGCTTGCGAGAAATCACGGGCAATTTATTTTAATGCTTTGGGTGTCAGTCGCTGCTAAATCACAGGAGCTATTTGCATTTATTTTCTGAGTCATCCCAGTTCTTGTGATAAGGTGATTTTTTCAGTGTATATGGTTAGTAAACTGCATTTATCTCTACTTTTTCTTACTTAGGTGTGTGTATTTTGCTTAAAAATGCAAATGTATGCCTTAATTGGCTAAAAGAAAATCACATGTAAGGAGATGCCTTTCTTTGCCTTCTCATTGTTAAGGGGAAGGGGTTCATGTCTGCTGGAAAGTAGTAGGGGAAAGATCAGAGGTGTGCATTAAGTGACAGGATAGAAGTCCCTGTGTCATCCAGTTGCTTCTGTCTCTGTGGTTCCCAAGTTGCTTCCTTCCACATGCCCAAAGGGACCGGAGCACTCTGCTGCTCCTCAGCACGGTAGCATTTGATACCGAGAAGCTTGATCTTGTGGTAGAATTCATAGCCCTGAATTTGCTTGGGGAGAAGAAGATACATGGGAGAGCTCTGGGGACTTGCACATCCTCTAACATTTATTTCAGGTGTTTGAAGTACAGATGTGGAAACAAGGTCACAACACACCTCTGTGGAAAGTTCCTTGACAAATCACTGCCAACTGCAAGCACAGGGCAGCACAGTCCAAGCATAGATAGTACAGCAGAGAGGAGATTGTGCTGAACTGGTGT